ATATTTTATAGGATTTACAACTTTTTAACTATATATTTCATCAATTTTTTTTAATGAAAATCTAATTTTAATCTTTACTACATAGGAATAAATTTTATCTTAAGTCATCGATTTATTTGGCGAAAATACGAGGGAATTTCAACTTGTACTAAACAACAATGTGTATATTATACATACATAAATTAAATTCATTTATCAAAATTAAACATTCCACGTGACAAATTGTATACAAGAAAAAAACTATAATTTTTTTTTTCATTTCTTTTTATCATGATATTTATGACATTAACTTTAATAAATGTTGATTGTTATGCTGTTTTCAAATGAATGAATTTATTTGTTTTTAACATTTGTAGAATCTAATACTTCATTGTCGTTGTTTTTCTGGTTTGTTATTTGGATATGTTGAATCCTATTTTGTGACATAATTTTGTTATATATTGGATGATATCTAACAACATATTTTTAGTGGATTAAGAAAGTGTTAAATGTGTTTTGATAACATATTTTATTTATTTTTAGATATTGGAATAAGATAATCTGCATTATCAATTCACAAAATTGTGGGTAAAAATTGAATCAAAATCGACGGTTCGAGTTTGGATTTGATTTTACTTGGATTCAAATGATCGAATATCCAAACCGATCATTCGATGCACAAACTTACTTAAATCTTTTATAAATACTTTCAAAATCAGTGCAATTTCAATAGTTTCTTAAAATTGATTAATGGATCGTTTGTTTCTCATTAATGTAAGAATGAGGATAAGAAATATAGTCTTTATGAGTCACACAGAAAACATAGAAATTCAAATATGGTAGTTTGATATGAGGGATACGATCATTTTTTTATTTTAATGGTCAAATAATGAGAAACAAACGGAGGGCTAAATCATAATTTATTGGATCTAATGACACTATCTGACATTGTTAAAGCACCGGCGGCCTTAGCGTGTGGGGCGAGGGTTTGGCCGAATGGTCCAATTAAATTGACATTACAAGTGCAAAATCATTAATTATTGATTGACACTGTCGATTAAATTAAATATTAAAGTCAACCTCATTAATTGACTCGTTAGAATTCACGTTATGTGCACGTATACGTTACAACTTACAATAGAGTCGTTGGCTAACACTTGTTGCATTGGAAGTCTAGTTTGAGTCACCATGCACGTGCCTACTTTGGCTCATATTTTATAATCGGTCAAATTAAATTTATTTTTCTTGGGAATTTTGTATGACCAATAAGAATACATAGCTAGATAAGTGGAAATTACATAGGACTCTACTTTTAAAGATTGTATTTTAAAAATCAGAATTGTAGTTTATATACAAAAATAAGATGATTAGACAATATTTTAATGTTAAATAATAATATTATAAAATTCAATTAATTGTATAACCAAACCCCAAACACTAAGAGTGTGTTTGATTGTCATGGAAAATATTACCTAGAAAAGAAAATGTTTTCCATCTTTTGTGGAAAATAAAAACCACCTCTACCCAAGGAAAATATTTTCCTTAAAAACAAGGAAAATTATGCATATTTTTAAAAGTTGGAAAATGTTTTCCATAGAAAAAAATAGCAATCAAACACTCCAAGTAGAAATTTGGATGAAAAATTGATATTTTTCATGGAAAATAAATGTAATCAAACACACCCTAATATTCATTTCATTCCTTCTCCTCAATCCATTCTCTCTCTAGTCTCTACCTCATTGTTGCTGCCAAACGCCTCGACGTAGGAGCAACACTGCATGAGGCCATGCACCATCGTCGACGAGGCTTTTCTACGTAGTGTCGCGCGCAGAAGCCGCTCGCAAGGCTTCTCTGCTACAATGCCGCCCGCAGTGGCAATGAGAGAAGTCGGTCATCGAGGCGCCTTGCACAATGAATGGTGGCGGCGATGATTTACATGCTTTGGCTACGATTTTTTGTTTGTGGAGATGGTAGTGGTGATGGATCTGGAGGTAGAAATGGGTTTTGTTGGATCGATAGTGGATCTGACGGTAGCATTGTTGGATCTGGTGGTGGTGGTGATTTTTTTAGATTGGCGGTTGAGGTGGTTTTTGTTGATACAAGCAGTGGTGATGGTTATTGTGATTCATGCGGTGGTGGTGGTGCTTGCGGCAAATTTAGGATTTTGATTTTTTATTTTATGTGGAATTGTGGTTGTGGAGTGGTAGGATGGTGGTGGCAGAGAAGGAGGTGACGGGCTGTGGTGTAATTGAATTGCTGCTGGTGGTGGGCCCGGGCATGGGGAGTGTTTGTGACCAATTATCATTCGCTTACCATGATATAATATCATTGGCTTACTGTAGTTCTAAATATTACATGATTTTGTCAGCCATTAGAATATTATGCTAAAAGGAATCAGGGGTCGTTCATTTTATAAACGTTGTAAATTTATAGGAAAAAAAAAACTTTAATATTGGATGAATGGTGAATTTGTCTGACTCTTTCTTTCTAAGCCATGCCAACATTACCTTAAAATTAACAAAGTGCAGAAGACTAATATATAGAGAAGAATCGAATCTTCACATAAATAACACAGAACAAGAGACAAGACATGTACCCTCTATTCATGGTGTAAAAAAAAAAAGGCTCTCTTGAAAATTTTCCTTGAATATCAACCATTACTCGTGCTTCTAGGATATATTAAAATTAAATTTTTAGCAAAAATTTGATAATTTAAAATTAGGGAATTGTTAGTCAAATGGTAAACTAAAATTAATTCCACTGACGTGCCTCAAGATATCCATTTTGTCATTTTCAATTTTGCCCTTGATTTGAAAGAGTGAATGATCATTTTAGGAGTAGATGTTGGTATGTTATGAGTAATTCAGTCATGGAGGCAAAAATTACTTAATGGGGAGGAAGTCAAAAAGTCAAAAGTCCCACTATTTTTTTTTCCAATCAACTTTAAATTATCCTTTATGGCCCACAAAATTGCACCAAAAATCAATTTTCCTAAAAAGAATCTACTTCAAACAATGGCTAAGTCGTTTAGTCCCAACTCATCGAGGCCCACTATTTATATTTTTCTAGGTGCCGGCTTCATTTGTACTAAACATATACAAACCCTTCCTAGATAATTCATTGAAAATAATAAAGATTCTCTTTCCCACCCCCAAAAAAAAAATAAAAAATAAAAAATAAAAATAAAAATCCTATCAAGTGTCTCAATAGTTTAATTTAACAACCGAGCTGCACCAACAGTTAGTTTGACAACTCGGTTGACACTCTACTCATAAATCGAGGGACTCACACTCAATAAAAAAAATGACAAGCCCCCGAAGCTGTGAGGAGATGTAAGTGGACTGTACAAGTAAATTTATCCTTAATTTAAACAAGCAGTTGAAAATAAGGATCTAACCCGACATCAATTTGGACTGTACAAGCAAATTTATCCTTAATTTAAACAAGCAGTTGAAAATATAGTTCTAACCCGACATCAATTATTGGATTTGTTTTAATCCCTATCTACGAGTTAGTAAAGTACTAATCAAAATTGTAACACGTATTGACTATCAAAAACTTTGTACGGCTTAAATTTCAAAAGTTTATCGCGCCACGTTTAAAAGAATTTTATTTACTACTGCGTAAATATTGCGTAAAGTACAAATAATAAAGAAACTTATAATCTTTAAAATGTGCTTTTACTTTTTAGGAAAACTATTAAACTGTGAATACCAAATCCACGAAATAATTTTGATTAAAGCAAAGTCAGTAACTGATTGACTAATAAGCCCCGTTTAATTCCCATTCCTTGAAAAAAAAAATATTTTTAAACAATGTTTTGATATCATTTCAATCACACATTTTTTAATAAAATAATATTAAACGCAAATTCAAAATTTTTATTTATTTTTTAACCACACATTTCTCATCAGTGCACCATTCAAAAATTCATTGTTATCAAAAGAATGAGACTCGGTTAAATATGAAAGTGGATCGTGGGACCCTCTTAAATAAGGGCCTGTTTGGGCCGGATTTTTTCACCCAAAAAATTAATTTTTTGACCGTTATTTTACTATTCCAGTCGTCATATTTGACTTCTTCTCTCACAAGTGGACCCAACTTTTTTCCTAACGGTCAAAAAATCAATTCTCAAAATCACTCCTAAACATGCTCTAAATTACTTTTAGACTTCGGTCTTCCAAGTTTTGAAACTTCAAATTTCCCACACTATTTCAATTTTTTAAGCACTGTATTCTCCTCCGTTTTAAAAAAAATATCTTTAATAATAATAATAAATATTATTATTATTATTTATTTTTTTGGTCACAAACCATTATGGAAGAAGGAACAAAAGGTAGAATTTATTTTCTTTAGATCGGTGATATTTGCTTTACTTAGCGAAATATGCACTCCCGATGCTAATAATGATAGTGAGTATTGGTACAGATGATAATAAACTCTACCACTTTATAGTTCAATGAATTTTATTACAGCCATCGAACAATAAGTGATGGGTGCAGTACCAACTAGACCAATACTCGTTAGTATTCTTACAACGAACTCAAATTCTTAGAACATTCATCATCATTCTTGTGAAAACCAATAGAAATTTCATCGACTTTTTATATCAATAATTCAATGTCATATAATTTAGAAAGAATGAAAACACATTATGCACCTATCTTGTATAGATATACATTATATTTCAGTAGATTTGAATAAAAGTTGATAGATCTTGTGATTGAAAAATTGCGGATCAATAAAATGTATTGTTAAAATTTAATTGTTGATTTTAATTTAAAATTTTTATCTGAAAAATTCCAATTGGTGTCCATACTTTAGAAAGATAATGTGAATAATTCATTCATGACTCAACCCATTCCAGGGTTGGGTGACGCTTCTAGAACAACAAGGAAATCAAAAAACGACAACTACTCAGAGACGATTTCTCTTACGTTTTTCATTAACGAAAATGTTAATCAAATACTATTTTTCATTAAATTTGATCGAATTGTAATATATAATTCTGTGGAGCGTTGTCGCCAACCCTTTGCGACTCGTCTTCTCATTCTCTCTCTTCCCAATTTCTTGCAATCTTCGCCCCCCATCTCTAAATTCAATTACGCTGTACGCCTTTGACCTTTGAATTTTTCTCTCTTATTTCCCAAATTATAATGTGAAAAATATGATGATTTGGCAACCAGGAAATAAAACTCTTTCATCCTCCTCTCTTCTTTCAAGAAAAAAGCCTTTGCCGTTGAATATCCAATGCAAATCATTTAATACTGTAGCTTATATTTGCTTTATTCTTTGTGTTGTTGTGTCATCAATATTTATTACTGGGTAATTTTTCAGTTCAAACAACTTAGACAATTTATTATAACACGGAGATCTCTTATATTTTACTGGTAGTTTTGATTCTCAGTACAAGTTGTTAGTATTGTGAATTTATTTTTTTATTTCAATTTTTGGCGATTTTGGTTAAGATCAGTTTCTGGATATTGCTTTGATTTCCGAGTTCTGGTGATTTTTTTGACTGGGATTAGCATCTGGGAAAAGAAAAATTCACATGTATGTTTTGATTTTTGATTGCGAGCTGCTGAAGGGTTCTTGGATCTCTAGATCATGTCCCAACAGCGCCCTATATTGATTCCTTCACCACGAACCCCCGGTAAATAAGAACTACCATATACCCCTATTTCGTTGAAACCAATTTCCGAGAACCCTAAACCTTTTTCTGGGATGGATTTAAATTTGAATTCCCAGTTCGAAAGTGGAAATTCTCCACTTCCGGATTTTATCCGAAATTCCTCATCCCAGCGAAGTACTTCGTCAATCCAATCGATTTATTCAAAGGCCTCTGGCGGGCATGCTGTTAGGGAGGTTGGCTTTGAACTGGGATCAAAGCCTTCCGTGAGGCACGGGTCAAGGGGAGCTGATTCCGAAAGGTTTAGCTCCTCCTATAAAGAGATTAATGATCAGGATGCAAGGTTGGTTTATATAAATGATCCTGAGAAAACGAATGGGAAGTTTGAATTTGCCAGGAACTCGATCAGAACTGGGAAATATTCTATCTTGACGTTCTTGCCCCGTAATTTGTTTGAGCAGTTCCATAGAGTTGCCTACATATACTTTCTTGCAATCGCCATCCTCAATCAGCTTCCCCAGCTGGCTGTTTTCGGTCGTGGAGCTTCAATTTTGCCGTTAGCAATCGTGCTATTTGTTACAGCTGTTAAGGATGCGTATGAGGACTTTAGAAGGCATCGTTCAGACAAGATTGAGAACAACCGATTGGCGTGGGTTTTTGTGAATGATCAGTTCCAACAGAAGAAATGGAAAGATTTACGTGTTGGGGAGATCATTAAAGTTTCTGCAAATGAGAGTCTTCCTAGTGATATGGTGCTGCTGTCTACGAGTGACACTACTGGCGTTGCTTATATCCAGACGACTAATTTGGATGGAGAATCAAATCTGAAGACTCGGTATGCAAAGCAGGAGACCCAAATGAAAAACCCCGAGAAGGAAAAGATAAGTGGATTGATCAAGTGTGAGAAGCCCAACAGGAACATTTATGGTTTCCAGGCAAACATGGAAATTGATGGAAAGCGTGTTTCCCTTGGACCGTCGAACATTATCCTTCGTGGTTGTGAGCTTAAGAACACTAACTGGGCACTTGGGATTGCTGTTTATGCTGGTCGAGAGACAAAAGCGATGCTCAACAACTCTGGAGCTCCATCCAAACGAAGCCGCCTCGAGACAAAGATGAACCAGGAGATTATTTACCTCTCTATATTTCTTGTAATACTGTGTACAATAGTTTCTGTCTGTCATGGTGTTTGGTTGAGGCTACACAAGGATGATTTGGTTCTAATGCAATTTTACAGGAAAAAGGACTATTCGAAACCTAAAGTTAAGGATTATAATTATTATGGTTGGGGTATGGAGATATTCTTCGTATTCCTCATGTCAGTTATTGTGTTCCAGATCATGATTCCCATATCATTGTACATATCCATGGAACTTGTTCGTGTTGGTCAGGCTTACTTTATGATCAGAGATAATAGGATGTTGGATGAGGCCTCCAATTCAAGATTTCAATGTAGGGCTTTGAATATAAATGAAGACTTGGGGCAGATAAAATATGTTTTCTCTGATAAAACTGGTACACTGACTGAGAACAAGATGGAATTTCATTGTGCAAGCATAGGAGGTGTAGACTACAGTGGTGGGAAGGCGTTGGCTGAAGATGAACAGACTGGCTACTTGGCTAGAGGTACTACAACTTCTCTTTGTGTGTGTCTGCACTGGTCTGTTTTCTTTATATTCTCAGTCCTGCACATGGTTTTCATTCTAAACATATTATTAATAGCTGCCTTATTTGTCATCAGTTGACGGGCAGGTTTTCAGGCCAAAGATGAAGGTAAAGGTGGATCCGGAGCTTCTCAGTTTATCAAAACAAAAACACACAGATGAAGGCAGACATGTTCACGATTTTTTCATAGCATTGGCAGCTTGCAATACAATTGTGCCTCTGACTGTGGAGACATCTGATCCTGCTCTGAAGTTGATAGATTATCAGGGAGAGTCTCCAGATGAACAGGCATTGGTCTATGCAGCTGCAGCTTATGGTTTTATGCTTACTGAACGAACTTCAGGTCATATAGTTATTGACATTCAAGGGGAAAAGCAAAGGTAACTCTAAGCTTCTTTCTTCATACTTCTCGAGCTCGATTTTACTTTGCAAGCCTCATAAGTGCAGTTACTTGCAGCTTTTAACAAGTTATTAGACTGTCAATGATATAGTTAGAATGTTTCTATGAGATTGCTCATACTAGAAAAGTCAGAGTCATGAAAAGATTGGAATTGTTACTATTATACAGTTCAATTGTTGCAATAGAGGATTATGGAGGTTCTAGTTGTTTCTTCCTTTGTTGACGACTTATGGAGCTCATTTGCTAACAGTGGTTGTCTAATTTGTTGCGCCTGTCAATTTTTCTTTTATTTTTTTACTTCTGCCCTTGATATTAATGTTTTACCCATAAATGGTCACTGCAGGTACAATGTCTTGGGTTTGCACGAGTTTGATAGTGACAGGAAGAGGATGTCAGTCATACTAGGATGCCCTGACAATACGTTTAAGGTATTCGTTAAAGGTGCTGATACAACCATGTTTAGTGTGATTGATCAGTCCTTGAACTCGAATATTGTGAAGGCAACTGAAGACCACCTTCACTTCTATTCCTCAAAGGGTTTGAGAACACTTGTTGTTGGAATGCGGGACTTGAGTGCATCTGAATTTGAACAATGGCAATCATCTTACGAGAAAGCAAGCACTGCCTTGATGGGGAGGGCATCTTTACTCCGTAAGGTTGCTTACAACATAGAAAACTCCCTTTGCATATTAGGTGCATCTGCGATTGAAGATAAATTGCAGCAAGGAGTTCCAGAAGCAATTGAGTCCTTGAGAAATGCTGGTATCAAGGTTTGGGTTTTGACTGGGGACAAGCAAGAAACAGCTATTTCAATTGGCCACTCCTCTAAGCTCCTGACAAGTAAGATGACCCAGATTGTAGTCAACAACATCTCTAAGGAGTCATGCAAGAAGAGCCTAGAAGATGCTTTGTTAATGTGTAAGAAGCTTACTATTGCTTCTGACGATACGGGAGGAGGTTCTGGAGCTAGATTGACAGAAATTGCATTAATTATTGATGGTACAAGCCTTGTTCACATTCTTGACACTGAACTTGAAGAACAGGTTAATGATCGTCTACTCTACTTATTCTCTCTCTATATCTGAGTTACAGTCTATTTTGATACTTAGCTTGTACCTGTCGATCAATTTGCAGCTTTTTGAAGTAGCCAGCAAATGTACTGTGGTATTGTGTTGTCGAGTAGCTCCATTGCAAAAGGCTGGAATTGTTGCCCTGATGAAAAACAGAGCTAATGAGATGACTCTTGCTATTGGTGATGGTAAGCATTGTTATCTGTGAATGTTATTGACAAAAATACGTACGAAGAAGGGAATAATAAGCAACCATCAAGCTATGGTGTCAGGCAATTTAATTTAATATTTTTATTTTTTATTTTTGTCTGAGTTTCAGGTGCAAATGATGTTTCAATGATCCAGATGGCTGATGTTGGTATTGGCATCAGTGGACAAGAGGGTAGGCAAGCTGTCATGGCATCAGATTTCGCAATGGGTCAATTTAGATTTTTGGTCCCATTATTATTGGTACATGGACATTGGAATTATCAGCGGATGAGTTACATGATATTGTACAACTTCTACAGGAATTCAGTTTTCGTTCTTGTATTATTTTGGTGAGTTTTCTGTTGATGAAAAATACAAATATAAATTCCTTCTTTATCAGTACAATATTAGAGAAAGCTAAAGACAACTTTAGTTTACTGTTGTTTGTAGCATTTTAGTCGCTACATTATTTGCCTGGTTTTGTGACTTCCAAAAAATAAATAGTAAGAAAAGGCATCAGTTTCTTGACTATGCTTGAATAATTTAAAGCTGAGAAAGTCCAAAAATACCCTAATCGATAATATTTTGAAATAGTTGTTAATCCTCTGCTTATAATAAATGGAAATTTTGTACTCGCTTCTTTTAGCATTTGGCCCTTTTCATCCTTTCAGTTGACCTCAAATGCATTCAAGTGAATGCTACTCATTTTACTTTATTTATTTATTTTTTATTTTTTAATGAAGGATAAACTGAAAAAGTATTTTGTTATTCTCAATTTTCTGTTTGTCTGAATCTGAAATGACACTCAAGCAGAGTTAAAGGTTCAAATAATAATATTGCATCTCTGTATAAACTAAGACTATAAGACTGGCACGTTAAAAATATTAAATTTGAATTATAAAAATGTAAATGAACATGTGCGTAGATTTGCTGTCTAACTTGCACAATTTTTCTTCACAGGTACACTCTCTTTACAAGTTTCACATTGACAACTGCTATCACCGATTGGAGCAGTATGTTATATTCAGTAATCTACACCTCGTTTCCTACTATTGTTGTCGGGATCCTTGATAAGGATTTAAGTAGAACAACTCTGCTGAGGTATCCACAACTTTATGGGACAGGGCAAAGGCAAGAAAGCTACAACGCAAAATTATTCTGGGTAACAATTTTGGACACGTTGTGGCAAAGCATAGCAGCTTTCTTTGTACCTCTGATTGCATATTGGGGAAGCGATGTTGATGGTTCGAGCATTGGAGATCTTTGGACAATTGCAGTGGTAATTATGGTTAATTTACATTTGGCCATGGACGTCTTTCGCTGGTATTGGATTACTCATGCGGCCATCTGGGGATCAATTGTTGCTACTTTCATTTGCGTCATGGTTATCGATGCTCTTCCTTTCCTACCTGGTTACTGGTAAGCTTTCTCTTCCTCGTGTTACATTCTTAATGTGAGAAATGCTACAAGTACAAGTACAGGCTGTTTTCACAGATTGGTTTTCAAAATGCCAGCCGGCAAGATTTCATTGGATTTTGGATAAAAAACAAAGTTAAACCAGCCAATCAAATTCTGCCTTCTCAGCACCTGTAAATCTATCTGTACAAGTAGCATTTTTGTCTTAATGTATACAAGCATATGGTGTGGGTTCTTGTGTCAAATAAATCCTACCAATTCTGGTTTATATCGGCGTTTTTTATGTGTCGTTTGATTCAGTGGTTGGCATAGAAATGCTGTTTTCTTTCTGGCCCATGTTTCAGAGACTAGCTCAATTCTTTTCTGAACTTTGTTGCTGGCTACTCTTGGGATTTGTAAATAGTGTGCATTACCATCATAATAAATGAAAACATAAGATAATTCGCGCGTTGTGCAGGGCATTCTTTCATATTGCTGGGACTGAATTGTTCTGGGCATGCTTGCTTGGTATCACAATAGCGGCACTAGTTCCTCGATTTGTTGTAAAAATCTTAATTCAGTATTTCGGACCTGACGACATTCAGATAGCAAGAGAGGCAGAGAAAGTCGAAAATTCAAGGGAGTCTCGAGATGCTGAGATTGAGATGAACCCAATTTTCCATCCACCTCGGAGATAACTAGTTTTAATTATCCATTCTTGTATTTTTCACTTCATTTGTAAAATGTGTCCCATTCTTTATCTGTCTACAGAAATTTTCTTAGACTCGCTAGGTTGTTTTTGTTTACTACCATGAAAGGATTGAAAGATGTAAAGGTTCTACTACATAAAGTCAGCAATTGTACATTATTTGTTTCTGTGTTGATGATAATATATACAACCCTTCACCAAGTTTGTTGCGTGAATAAATTTAGAGTTGGTCACCTGAATTTTGTTTGATATTATATTTAGGATGAGTTTGATTGCAAGCATGGAAGTTTGCATGAAAAAAAAAAAAAAAGTTCTATACAATTGTCGTTTGCATGGAAATTATTAATTAAGAGTTTGTTTGGTAGAGATTTTTCATCCCAAAAAATTGATTCTTTGACCGTTATTTTACTATTTTAGCCATAAAGTTTGACTTCTTCCTTCAGAGGTGGGATCCACTTTTCTCATAACGGTCACAAAATCAATTCTCAAAATCACTCCCAAACGGGACCTAAATGTGTTTAATGGACTTAATTTTTAACCTATAAAATGTTGTATTTTTTCATGAAGTGTGAATTGCTTATAAAATAAAAATCTCCTTTTTCATAAAGAAAATGTTTTTTTTCTTATTTTTGAGGAAAATATGGTCACGTAACCAATTTTTGAAAAATGTTTTCATGGAAAAAATATCGATATAGCACCTCGAAAGTATGAACTTGGATGAAAAAACTCATTTTTCATTAAAATAAAGTCAGATAAACACATCCTTAATGTTGCTAAATTGATCAAATCCATTGAGGGATTATGTTACGTTGCTCTTCGAAAGGAGGTGGCTAAAATTTTAGAAGTCAACAGAAAAGATGGAAATGAGACTTGGTTTTGTTGAAATATTACTTTTGATTATGTACAAACCCTTGGTTCACGATAGTTGGCTCATGCAAGTTTTCTCTTTTTACTTAAATTACATATTTTACTCACTGTGACAAGTCAGCTCGTGTGCTCGTGAGTCAACTTGTTCAAGTCAATGAATGACACGAGAAAATTGTTGCTCGGTTCACGCCCGTGTCTCGCTTCGTTAGTGAGGGGAATGGCTCGCCCACTTAGCACCCCTAGTTATTATTGAAATTGGAGAATTTGTTGCAAAACAAACTTTAGGGGAAGGTTTGTATATTTTTCAAAAGGGCAATTGGCACAAAACGCCAATACCTTTAAGGGTTATTGTGGAAAACGTCCTCACATTTTATTTTTTGACATTTTTGTCCTTATTTCTACCTTTCTTTGCGGAAAACTTTATTTTCACCATTTTTTGATGTAAAATGACCAAAATACCCTACTATTTAAATAAAATCCAAAAATAAAGAAAAAAAAATAAAGAATAAATTACAATCTTACTCCTAAATATTTTAAAAAATGCAAGTGAGTCCAAATAATTATTAAAAGTTTAATAGTACAAAACGTCCCTACGTTTTTTCTATAGTGTGAAAAATATTCTTACGTTTCAAATTGGTGAAAGTGATATTTTCCGTAATGAAACGTGAAAATAGGGATGAAAACGTAAAAAAAATGAAATGAAAAGTTGGGACGTTTTTCTGCAAGAAGCGTCAAACGTAGGGATATTTTTTGCTATTAGCCCTTACTAAAATATTAAAAATAACAAAAACTCTTCCCCCCCCCCCCCCTCTCTCTCTCTCTCTCTCTCTCTCTCTCTCGCTCTTCTCTTCTTATCCAAGTGGGCCAACCACTTTAGAAGTCAAAAAACTCTAGCAAACTACCATCCAAACTGCAGGACTACCATACCATCGAAAAACCCTCACTTCCTTTTACACATACCATCTAACATTCAATCTTGAAACCTTCATGCCAATAGATTTGTTAAGAAGTGCAAGTCAAAATACCCAACTCGCGAATGTAAATATTGGCGACATCACCTATTTCGAAGAGACCCATGCTATTTTCAACACACCAATCGACTATACTTACTAGGGCGTCTCTCTTCATGATGTTAAAATATCAACAGATAGTTTAGCGGTATGGAGGTTCAACGATTTGGTCGATGGTTAGTCGAAATTTTTTCACTTCTAATGTGGCAGTCCCATTTTGAGAAGAATAGGAGAAAGAGAGTTTTTTTTTTATTTTTTTTTATTTTTAGGTATAATAGCAAAAAAATCCCTACTTTTGACACTTTTTGCGAAAAATGTCTCTACGTTTCAATTTTTTTGTGTTTTCATCCCTATTTTTATGTTTCGTTGCAGAAAATATCTTTTTCACCAATTTGAAACGTAGGGACGTTTTTCACACTATAGACCAAACGTAGGGTCGTTTTGTGCTATTAGGCTTTTTAATAATTATTTAGATTTATTTGCACTTTTTAAAATATTTAGGAGTAAGATTGTAGTTTATTCTTTATTTTTCTTCTTTTTTTGGATTTTATTTAAATTGGAGGGTATTTTAGTCATTTTACATTAAAAAATGGTGAAAATGATTTTTTTGCAAAGAAATGTGAAAATAAGGGAAAAAATGTTAAAAAATAAAAGATGGAGACATTTTTCACAATAAACCTTAAAGATATGGACGTTTTATGCCAGTTACTCTGTGTGAAAAATAGGGGTTTCTGTGTGTAAAAATTATGTACTTTTTTTTTTTTTTTTATTAATATTTTTGTAATCTTAAGAGCTCTGATACACATTTGAGCCGCCAATCCCGTTTGTGTGTCTCAAGGTCGCCATTTTTTGTTCTTCACCCTTTTCGAGTAAGCTCCTCATCGTAATAAACTTCAATTGAAAGGACAAATTGTTCATAGTATTGTTTTGGGAACGCTCTTACTGATGTATTAATTGATTGAAGGTTGGTGCTAATGGACTGTAGACTTCTTTCTTTCAATCAGATCAGTGGGTTGGCTTGTAATTTGCGAGCAGTTGCTGTTCCAAAAAGTGTTCCATATCGTTTTTCCTGTTCTTCTCGGCCAGGTAACTAGAAATTTGTCCATCAATTCTCTTAAAATTTGTTGACATTTGCTTTTTTATTTTCTGAAAGGTTTATTATTAATTCCTATATGCATTATGCGCTCGTGAATGAAGAATCGCTGAAACATAAAGTGCTGCAGTTTTCTTTATCCATGTATTGTAATTGGTAGTTGCTCTGACTAATTAGTAAAATGAATAACCATTTTTATTAGTCAGTGTTGAAAATTGCTAATTACTTATCGTATAACACTTACTTTCAGGAACATCAACTTATTTTATTACTTCAAAGGAAGAAGAAAGTGGGTTGAACACTTGAACTTGTCATTATTTTTGGACATTTGAAGTTTGATTTTGAGGAAGGTCTTGTTAATATATATGAGCAAAGACTGCAAAGTTGAAGAAGAAAATGGCTTAATTTTGTTGACTTTACTTGCTTTTAATCTGTAAATTGCTAAATCGTGCTGAAATTGCACTTGGAAATGCACTAAACAATAACATTCACTTGTGATAAATTTGACGACTAAATACTAATCCTTAAAGTGGTCCTGACTCCTGGATGTATAATAAGTTTTCTGTTTATATTTTAGCATTATTTTTGCCCGTGGAACAATGTTTTTCGACAGAGAGATATTTATTATTTATTAATTTGATTCGGCTTTGATTGGGCACTGACGAATCTTAAGATATCTGAAACATTTAGCTATATTCTTTAGATTGTTTAAAGAACGCCAGGCCTTACATAGGTAGTTTGGTCAGTTATGTCACTTTTAACGCCATATCTGGGGTCTATTTTGGGCATTAAAGTTGGAATAGAAGTTATTTGATAGACCCCCGGTTAATTTCACTTACGTGAGGAGAAAGAAGGAGGGAAAGGCAGTGTAACAACCAACTGAGGCACCAGATCTGTTAGTCAGTTAAGGAGGGTAGTTTAGGGAATTATGTCTATAAATGTAATGGGAGGGAGAGTTATTTTTCATTCACGTTTTCTTGAGTATTTGGGGGAGAGACCAGGCCTCTCGAAAGCCTTGGATCTGTTCCCTTTTGTTTGCAGTACCTCACTCAGTAAATAACAGTTTAATTTCCATTGTTGAGCCTTATTATTATTCAGGGGTTCTATCAAATTGGTATCAGAGCATTCATCTTGGGAGGACGACGATCATTGATTGAGTGAATGCCTTGAAAACCCGAATGGATGGATCAAAGGAGAGATACAAGAAGAAATTGGAACAATGAGGACAGAGATTCAGTGAAATTTGTCGTCAATGATGGAACGGTTTGAATTCATCAGGAAGAAGTGGGAAGGGATGGAGATGGACCAAAAGGAGAAAGGAGTAGCATCCAGTTCAACGGAACCCACCCTCACCTCAGAGACCTTGACCAAGGGTAAGGGAACGAAAGCTAGGTCGGATGGCAGGGAACGCAGTGAGGAATTATGGAAAATGGAAAAGCGATCCTGACGACTAGAAATGCCGGTATTTAATGGGAAAGACCCCGATGGCTGGATATTTCGAGCTGAGAGGTATTTTGCCATGAATCTATTATTTGATTGGGAAAAGGTAGAAGCAGCAGGGATCTGTTTTGAAGGGGAACCACTAGCTTGGTATCAATGGGAAGATAGCCGCCAAGTCATCCGAAGCTGGGGGGAGTTGAAACGGAGGCTACTGGAACGATTTTGCCCTTCACAAGAGGGTACAATTTTAGAGAAACTTCTGGCCTTAAGGCAGGAAGGCACGGTCCGAGAATACCGAAGAAGGTTCAAAGTACTGGCCGCGCCCTTATCGGCAATTTCAGACGACGTATTGGAGAGCAACTTTATCAATGGGTTGAAGGCTCCTATACGGGCTGAGGTGAGAATGTTGAAACCTCGTGGGTTGGGCCATATCATGAATCTGGCCCGACGCGTAGAAGATCGAAATGAATTATTAAAGGAGGCCCTTATGTCGTATGGACCCAACAAGGGAAGAGTGGGTTATTCCAGCCCAGCAACTCACAGCCCACACTCCCCTTCATACGACCACACAGTCAACTCCCAGTACCCAAGTTCGTTGAATTCACCCGTTTCTAGGGCAGTGACTTCAGTGACCATGTTTCGGCCAGCTCCGGCAGCAAAGGGGGCGCCGACTGTCAAGAAATTATCGGACACTGAGCTATAGCGGAAGAGAGAAAAGGGCCTGTGCTACAAGTGTGATGAAAAATATGGGCCGCGGCATAAGTGTCGAAACAAGGAACTCCAGGTCCTTGTGGTGCAAGAGGAGGAGGACGAAGACAGGCCGAAAGAGACGATAGAGGCAGAACAGGGGACAAAGATGAGTGGTTTGGTGGAACTATCAATTAATTCGGTTGTGGGTCTCACGACCCCACGAACTATGAAGCTTACACGTAAGATTTTGGGGCATCAGGTGTTAGTCATGATTGATTGTGGGGCTACCCACAATTTCATTTCTGCCGAGTTAGCTGGAAAATTAGCACTGCCGATCACGCACACTGCTAGCTACGGGGTGCTCATGGGCACTGGACTGTCTGTAAGGGGTGGTGGGATATGCAAAGGAGTTACAGTATCCCTGCCTAGTATTGACATCATTGACGATTTCCTTCCACTGCAATTGGGGTGTACAGATGTGATATTGGGAATGAAATGGCTGGGATCCTTGGCCAAGATGCAGGTGAATTGGGAGTACATTGACCATGAGGTTTAAATTGTCAGGGGAATCGGTGGAATTGCAGGGGGATCCGAGCTTACATAAGACACAGGGGTACTTTTGGAACTCGGAAGCATGGGAGTCAACAGCGAACCTAAAGTCACCTAAGATACTAGTACATACATCGGGGTGTTACAACAGTTTCGGAAGGTGTTCGAATGGCCAAACAAGCTACCCCCTCCTCGAGCTCAAGATCATTCGATTGTTATGAAACCAAATTCAGCGCCAGTTAATGTCCGTCCATACCGTTATCCGTATGACCAGAAAAACGAGATTGAAAGGCTGGTTAGGGAAATGTTAGCTGCAGGAATTATTCACCAAGTTTTAGCTCTTTTTCAAGCCCTGTGTTACTGGTGAAAAAGAAGGAGGGCAGTTGGCGATTTTGTGTGGATTATCGCGCCCTCAACAAGGTTACTATTCTTGCCCGTTTTCCCATTCCCATGATTGATGAGCTGTTGGATGAACTACATGGGGCCAAGGTCTTTTCGAAGCTTGATTTGAAGTTTGGGTATCATCATATTAGGGTGAGGGGAGAGGATGTTCCCAAAATGGTTTTTCGCACTCATGAGGGCCACTACAAATTCCTAGTCATGCCATTTGGACTGACTAATGCACCGACGACCTTCCAAGGGTTGATGAATGAAGTCTTTAAACCTTACCTTCGAAAGTTTGTACTTGTCTTTTTCGACGATATCCTGGTCTATAGTGGGACAGCTGAGGACCACCAGCAACATTTGGAGACGGTTCTTCGTTATTTGCAAAACCACCAACTGTTTGCAAATGAGAAAAAATGTGTGTTTGGCCAAGGAAAAATCGAGTATTTGGGTCATGTTAATATCAAGTGAAGGGGTGGCTGCGGATCAGACCAAAATCCATACCATGTTGCACTGGCCAACGCCCAAAACCTTACGAGAATTAAGAGGATTCTTGATGCTTACAGGTTACTACCGGAGATTTGTTTCGGGGTATGCTAAAATAGCATGGCCATTGACTGATTTATTGAAGAAGGATGGTTTTTCATGGAGTGTATAGGCTGAGGCAGCTTTCCAGGCTCTGAAAGTAGTAATGACTGAGGTTCCGGTTCTGGCACTACCCGACTTTACACAAACATTTGTGGTGGAGACTGATGCTTCGGGGCATGGGTTGGGGGCAGTTTTAATGCAAAATCAACACCCCCTCGCTTATTTCAGCCAGGTGTTACCTCAGAATGCGCGCCATAAGTCAGTATATGAGCGGGAATTGATGGCCATTGTATTTGCAATTCAGAAATGGCGACACTACTTGCTAGGCCGGCACTTTATAGTGAGGACAGATCAGAGAAGCTTGAAATTTCTCCTCGAACAGCGCATAGTAAGCAATGAACATAAAAAATGGCTGACCAAGTTGTTGGGTTACGATTTTGAAATTCAGTATCGCCCGGGGCTCGAGAACAAAGCAGCAGATGCTCTTTCAAGAATAGAGCCAGCTCTGAGCCTCTTGAACATCACCGTTCCTAGGGTGATTCACATGGACGAAATCAAGAAAGAGGTGGCAGACGATGAGGAATTGGGAAAGATGGTAAATGGGCAGCAGTCAGGACAAACCATGAAGGAGGGATACTCACTATTAGATGGCCAGTTACTAGACAAGGGAAGGGTGGTGTTATCTAAACACTCCCAGTTTGTGACAAAGATATTACAGGAAAGCCATGACACCAAAATAGGGGGACATTCAGGCTTTCTTAAGACATACAAAAGAGTAGCCAGAGATGTGGATTGGAGCGGGATGAAAAAAGATGTTCGTGAATTTGTAGCTCGGTGTGATGTTTGTCAACAGAATAAATATATGGCCCTATCACCTGGAGGCCTATTACAACCACTCCCCATTCCGGATTCAATTTGGGCCGATATCTCTATGGACTTCATTGAAGGACTGCCTAAGTCAGGTGGATGGGACACTATTCTAGTGGTAGTTGACCGGCTGAGCAAATATGGCCACTTTGTTGGCCTCAAACACCCATTCACCGCCCCTCTCGTGGCAACCATCTTTATCAAAGAAATAGTCCGCTTGCATGGCATTCCTCAGTCAATTCTTTCTGACCGGGACCGAGTGTTCATGAGCAAGTTCTGGACAGAGTTATTTAAGGCTCAGGGAACTAGCTTAAAGCGCAATACAGCCTACCATCCACAAACGGATGGACAGACGGAGGTCGTGAATCGGTGCTTGGAAACCTATTTGAGGTGTTTTGCATCTCGCAAACCTCGCTTTTGGAGTCAGTGCTTAGCATGGGCAGAGTTTTGGTACAATACGTCCTTCCACACCGCAACAAAACACACCCCCTTCCAGATTGTCTATGACTGTGAACCACATCCCATTCTACCGATTGAGAAGGGACTCATTGTAGTATCAGCCGTGGAAAAATCACTTGCAGAACGAGATGAAGTTCTCCAAGAAATGAAAATGCAACTAACTCGTTCTCAACAACGAATGAAACTAGTAGCTGACGGACATCGGCGTGAGGTGCAATTTGAAGTAGGGGATATGGTTTATCTCAAATTACGCCCGTACCGTCACAATTCTGTGGCAACTCGCCCCTATGCTAAGTTGTCCCCTAAATATTACGGGCCATTTGAAGTGGAAACAAGGGTGGGCCAGGTAGCATATAAGCTGAAGCTTCCTGCTACTGTAGCTATACACCCAGTCTTCCATGTCTCCCAGCTACGCAAGGCTATTGGTTCTAGTCAATCCATCAAGCATCTTCCTCCACTACTCGAGGCAGAAGAACAGTTCCAGGTTGAACCAGAGGCAGTCCTACAAGTCAGGCAGGGGTCACCAAGCATAGGAAAGGAGGCCCTCATCAAATGGAAGCACTTGCCCAACTTTGAAGCAACCTAGGAACCTGTCAGCACCGTCCAACAATAGTTCCCTGAGTTCCACCTTGAGGACAAGGTGGCTTTTGGGATGAGGGGAAATGATAGACCCCCGGTTAATTTCACTTACGTGAGGAGAAAGAAGGAGGGAAAGGCAGTGTAACAACCAACTGAAGCACCAGATCTGTTAGTCAGTTAAGGAGGGTAGTTTAGGGAATTATGTCTATAAATGTAATGGGAAGGAGAGTTATTTTTCATTCACGTTTTGTTGAGTCTTTGGGGGAGAGACCAGGCCTCTCGAAAGCCTTGGATCTATTCCCTTTTGTTTGCAGCACCTCACTCAGTAAATAACAGTTTAATTTCCATTGTTGAGCCTTATTATTATTCAGGGGTTCTATCATTATTCCTTTGGAATTTTGCACATACTTCTGAGAACCTAAGTCTATGTTGGCAATCCAATTCCACAACAACTAACATGGTCTTGAGAGCCTTGAAAAGTTACGTGATAGATCATGGATGAACATTGTTGGAAAGATGACAAAATAATCCAAACTTATTTTTTTATCAGTGAAAATTCAAGTGGTTTTTAATTATGCCAAACTCATTTTCAATCACATATTCACGCAATAAAATATTTTGCACGTAAACCCAAATTTTTTCCCTACTTTTTAACCACACATTCTAAAAGAAAATCACTATTTCAAAACTCATCTTGATACAGGCCGGCCGTCAATCCTTTCTTCGACCTCTAGATAGGGGAGAGGGGCCGGCAAGCGTGTACCAAACCATTTCCCCCCCAAAAAAACTCATTAAAATGTTGTCAAACAGGGCTACAGGAATCAAATGTCATTGACAAGCTAGGTTTTTAGTATTATAATGGATAAGGTAATCTATAAATGGATTGAGCCCCCATTTGAGTCACATTATTGTAAAAATAAAAATGTAAAATATAACCGTTATGGACCTCACACGAGATAAAATGTCAAATGTGGTGGCTTGATGTGATGGATAATGGTCATATTTTTCATTTTAGTTAGAAAATAATGGGGATCAAACAAGGCCTGAATATATTAACTCAATCAAAGTTTCAATCTTTCGTGTTCTGATAGCGCTTTCAGTAAGTCCATGTTTACAAAAGTTACATCTTTTTATCACATTTTTGTGTTGTGTACATAAATTAATCTAAGATTTTTATGTGTGTGCACCTGTATAGAAAGACCCTATGAAGCTAACTCTCATACAAGTTCCTGGCAGCTGAGTGATATGGTTGTAAATTCAAGCAATATACTCTACAATATTTCTTCATTAATCACTGCAGATTCGTTCATGTCCATGATTGTGCTCGTGATATAATTATTGATAGTGTCAAGCTCTTTCTTCTCATCTTCTTCATTTTGTGGTTTCACAGGGCCATTTTGTTGCACACTGAGTTGTTCAATGAAGTCCTATAGGCTATCAGATCTTAGTACATCCGAGGTTGATAGCCTCAAAGCTCGTCCTCGAATTGATTTTTCTTCCATTTTTGATGTGGTGAGCCTTCATGTTGTTTAGCAGCTCCAACTTGTTCTTTAAAATTTGCTATCTTGTTATCTGGACTTCATTGTAATATTGGAATCGATGTTGGATCAGGTTCAACCCATTGTTGATGACGTACGCAGTAGGGGCGATACAGCTGTTAAAGAGTTGGTGCTCCTTTTATTTCTTCATTTGATTTTTATATTATTTTGTGATGTTTGAGGAACATGGAAAACTCTTGCGCTATTCAAAATCAAAATATATGTTGATCAACAGAAGGCCTCTACATTGATGAGGTAAAAAAATCAAATGGATCCAAGTAGAGTTTTCTGGAAGTTATCAATAAGCTAGACCCATATTGCAACCCAGCTATCCACGGAACGTGAGGTAGTATGTGAGAAAATTCCTGAGGACAATATTGGAAGCCTTACAAAATTGGACTAGTTCATGATATAAATTTGGTTAAAAAACTCACCAACCTTTTGGGTTATTGTTGTTTTATTCTGGAATCAGGTGGAAATTAATTTTAGGGATAGTTTTGTTTACTAAAACTAAGGTGTCTGGTTGTTAGGAGTGGGATCTAATTTCTGATTGTGGTCGTGAAAGCTTGAATGGAAGAAAAGGACACATTTTGTGAACCATTTATTAACTTAGGCATCATTAGTTGCAGTTGTATCGAACCAGGGAATGCTGATAGAGATTCTATTTATTTATTTTCCAAACGTATTTATCTATCCAAAAATGGGTGTAAGTAATGTTAATAGGCTGTAATTTTCTCCTGGTTGTGCTAGGGATTGGACCAAGTATTCAAAATTCACAAAATTTTAATTTATGACTTCTATGGTATAAAACACTTCTAAAGAGTTCATATGTAGCCAGATATTCCTGGATTCACCAGATATGCAACTCAAAGGCATAATACATATAGAAAATGATTCTAACCTTATCAATCATATATGTATCTGTAGGCCTTGTTGGGATGTTCTGCACAGTTGTCATTTCCTTCAGTTGAGGATGACTGCTATTTATGTTTCTCTTTGACAGCTATACAATCCGATTTGACAAAGTGAAACTAGACAATATAGTCGAGAATGTCAATGATCTTCCTGATCCAGAGGTATCTCTTTTGGACAAAGTTTTCACAGATTCTACTTGATATTCTACATGTTTAGTTGCTAAGTTTTATTATATTACATCATTTCTGTTTAGCGTTCAAGTCTGCAAGTCTATAACTTGTACTTTGATGATTAGCTTGATGCAGCTGTTCAAGAAGCATTTGACGTGGCTTACAGTAATATTTATGCTTTTCATGCTGCTCAGAAGCCAGTTGAGAAATTTGTTGAGAACATGGAAGTAAGTACTTTAACTTTATATGGTAGTTCTTGTATTGGAGTTCCAGGCTCAAGTTGCAGTTTCCCCATTTTCAATTTTGCCAGGGTGTTAGATGCAAGCGAGTGGCAAGGAGTATTTCAGCTGTTGGTCTTTATGTTCCTGGGGGCACAGCTGTTTTGCCTTCAACTGCTTTGATGCTTTCAGTTGTAGGTGACTCGGGTTAACTATATATTCCACATTTTTGGATTTATTAAATATTGATTTTCATTTCATGTTGTTTGATTGATGTGAGAATTCTTTAATCAGCCTGCCCAGATAGCCGGGTGCAAAACTGTTGTACTGGCAACTCCCCCTACTCAAGATGGCAGCATTTGTATGGTAATTGTTCTCTTCTAGTCAACTTGATTGAATACGATGTTGATGTATTTCTCACCAGCCATGTTTGCAGGAGGTCCTTTATTGTGCTAAGAAAGCTGGTGTTACTCATATTCTTAAAGCTGGAGGTGCTCAGGTTGGAATGCGGTATATTTTCTGAGTATACATTGTGATTTTAAGGATATTTTTTCTGATAATTCTGAAATTTGTCAATAATATGTGCAGGCCATTTCTGCCATGGCTTGGGGAACCGAATCTTGCCCTAAGGTATCAGTTTCTGGATGATGTGTGCATTCACTATAACATATCCACTGTAGTAGCAACTCAGTCTTTCTTTTGGTTCATAGAAGCTCACAACTCATTTATATTCAGAGCCAGGCTTTGACATGAGTTTTAATTCTCGCAGAAACTTTGTGAACTTTTAATTTATTATCAAAGTGTTTCGGTATCGTCATTTGGCATGTACTGCCACTAGTCGTGCATTTCATCCTCCCTGCTGTCTTCTCTGCATTACTGAATTCACCATCAACTTTATGGGGCTATCTGTTTGCCAACGTCAGAATACTTATTTACTATTAAAGAAGAATCACAAGTTTCTACCTCTGCAAAAATTTTGCTTTATTCTCTATAGATTTGGAGTTGGCCACATAATTTTTTTTTCCCTACTTGTTCGGCTCATTACTAAATCTTCTATGTTGGAGAATCCGAAGCAACCACAACAGAGACAGGTTTGGACCCTACTAGTATATATTGTAGATATAGGGAAAATAAAATAAAAATAAAAAAATAAAACAACACAGATGTAGAAAACTCTATTAGCAACCACAACAGAGACAGGTTTGGACCCTACTAGTATATATTGTAGATATAGAAGAAAAAAAAACACAGATGTAGAGAACCCTGGTAGACGCCTTGATTCTATCAAAAAGTAGGTCTTCGCAATGAAACATAAGAATATAGAAGATACATTAAAATGCTCGTGGACACACGAAAAGAAACTTGTATAGTTATTTATGGCTTTGGAGGATGAGTCATGACACTTTTTTGCGTTCTCTGTCACAGTACCTTTCTATTTTAAGATTCTTGGTTTTGGAATAATTTCAGAAAATTCAATAGAAAACCCATTAACGTGTCGTCTGGGCACCAGTCAGTCGAACATTTCATGCCTTCCCAGATAACACTGCTCTTAAATAAACAGATGGTCAAGTTAATAGGATTTTCAGTGATTCTGGGAGCATTTTTATTTTTTATTTTTTGGTTCTTCCCCTGTTGTGAGGAGTTTGATAGATGGATTTCATCAGTTGCTGATTTATCTTCCTTGTTGTAGAGCAATTTTATTATTTAGGGAAGAATCCTCTTTTTCTCCCTGGTTATATTTTGCTCCAACTCGTACTACTACTATTTGCATATGTATGTATGACTTGGCAAAACCACTGCCCTTGCCAACATGAAGGGCAATTGTCAGGTACCCAAAATACATAACCCTTTTGCCAGGAGTTTGCTAAATACTTATTAAACCTTTATCAAACAGCAATTTGATGTTACAAGTTAATCTTACACGCAGATCCGTGATGTCCACAGTCCACCTTTTAGCTAATAAGTGACTGGTTGTGGCATAACCAGTCTAACTTGTGCAGGTAGCACCTTTTGTGTGGCATTTATGCCACAATCCACCTTTTAGCTAATAAGTGACTGGTTTTGGCATAACCAGTCTAACTTATGCAGGTAGCATCTTCGGTGTGGCATTTATGCCAGTTAACTTGAGTTTGTACCAAAACCCATGAAAATGTGTCGGTGTCTAAAACTCACTAACAAAATATTGAGGTGAATTAAAGAGTAATGATCTATCATCTATACTATGAAGGAATCTGCACATATCTAGAATTGCTTTAACTATGAGAACCCTTTTGGTGGAGACTGTAATGTATAGGTATTAGGACCCCCATGCAACAGAGTTGTCTTTTCAAATAGTGGTTTAAGCCCTCTCTAGGATCCAAGATGATATCCACCTTGCTATGAAAAGGATTTAGCCCCTGTTTGACAATCATTAATTGGAGAAAACATAGTTTTGAATAGTGTTTTTTAGGAGAATGTGTAGTTAATAAGTGGGGAAAAGTTTTGGGTTCACGAGTAGTATATTTTATTGTGTGAATATGTGGTTGAAAATGAGCATGTAGAAAAAAGAATTTGAAAATAATGGTTGTCAAACAGGGGATTATTGTCATGACTCATCCATCCCAAAAGCTCATAACAGTGCAATTGGAATTATGTAGGGCCGATTTTTTTATTTATTTTAATTTATTTTTTAAATTGGCAAAAAAAAAAATAAATAAATAAAAGGATTTAGTCCATCCCATAAACTCATCTCAGTTCGACTCTAAATTTTATCGCACTATAAAATCTAATTCTACTTCCACCTTGGGCGAAGGTATAGGTTATGCTATAGTTACATGTGCAGCAAGGTGGATATTGTCTTGGACATTAATTTATTCGAGACCGAGTTGTGCATTGTAGGTCCATGGGCACAGGGCACATCCTGGCCATCTCCACTGTCCTGGAGCGTAGGATACTTAGATCCTAGACCACCCTTTTTTCTTTTTTCTGTCGTAGGTTGTCCATCTAGAGCAGTGACTTGCATGATTAATTTGTTCACTGTGTACTTGATTTCAAACTTGACTCATGCTTTATTTTATGCCCCAGTGTATCTCTTCCTGATAGACTGAAATAAATATAAATATTTCTTTAAAGTAAAAATTCATCTTGAGCTGTGTATTCTGTCTTTCTGCAATCATCTGATGAATTTCGTTAATCTATCCCCATGCATTTCTCTCAGATATCTGTTTACAGTTTCGAGTTACTATTATTGCAGGTTGAGAAGATATATGGGCCTGGCAATCAGTATGTCACAGCTGCAAAAATGATCCTCCAGGTTCTAATGATTTTTACTTACCTTATTTCTTGATCGAAACTATGTTATATTCTGCACTGCATTTCAGTTTTGCTGCCTGGTTGCTGACTCTTTTTTTTTTCCTTAACAGAACAGTGAGGCTATGGTTTCGATAGACATGCCTGCTGGACCATCAGAAGTGCTTGTCATTGCAGATAAACATGCCAACCCTGTTCATATAGCAGCCGATTTACTTTCACAGGTGTCTGCTTTTTGGAATTTTATCCTTCAATTTGTTTTCTATGAATTTCTGTTAGTTGTAGTTATGAAAATAGGTGTAAGTCACTATGTTTATATCAGTGACAGAAGTTCACGATAAATTTGACGAGTTATTTGTATATGATGACCATATAAGAGAAAGATAACTGAAACCATCACGTTCTTTTTCTGTCACATAAAGATACCTTTTTATAGACTTCTTTCTTTAAATGTCATATTATCTTCTTTCCTGACCTTGCAAAACATCATGTTGCTAATTTCAGGCTGAGCACGGTCCTGACAGCCAGGTTGTTCTTGTAATTGCTGGAGATGGTGTGGATCTAACTGCTATTCTGGATGAGCTCAACAAGCAGTGCCAAAGCCTGCCAAGGGGAGAGTTTGCTTTAAAAGCACTGAGTCACAGCTTTGCCGTTTTTGCACGTGATATGGTTGAGGTTTGTCCTCTTAGTTTTTGGCAGTGTCATAACAGACTACTTTAAAATATATAATTTCCAACTTGACGCTATAATACAAAAGCTCATTTGAACAATATATACACTTTTTCATTGTAGACATTTGAAGATTAATGATTACTGATTAGTGTGTAAAATCACATTCCCTTTTGTTGGGCATTCTAGAAAATGAAAGCTGAATTTTTTTTCAAGTTAGACGCACTATTTTCAAAATTGTACTAGGTTATGCATTTAATAATTAACTGCACTGATCCATATAGGCAATTTCAAGAACTAGTTTATTGCACGCTGACACAGATGTTTTCTTGCTTGCTTTGTTTACTTGTGTCTTGGTTGATTTTATTTTCTCTTTGCACGTATGGTTCATCCGAGTCTCAGTCTGTTCCAACATTACACTTATTGTTTGGATTCACAGGCTATCAATTTTTCTAACTTGTATGCACCTGAGCATTTGATTATCAATGTGAAAGAAGCTGAGAAGTGGGAAAGTTTCATACAGAATGCAGGTAACTATTATCCATGCTCTCCTATATATCTGGTGTTTGCTTCTATGAAATCTTTGTCGTTTGCAGAGTTCATATTTTATCTTTTTTCGCCTTTGCTTCAATAACCACTCTATCTTGGTGCATATTTAGTTCTGAAATTTTATTAGTAGGCATTTTTCTGCTCATTACTGCTGCCAGGTTAACTTTTTCTACACAATATTTTTAAACATGTTGCTATTATCTGTCCTTGATCAATTGCATATGCTATGTTTATGTAAATACTTACTACTGAAATTCTGAATACTCGAAACACTATCTGCAGGTTCTGTATTTTTGGGTCAGTGGACACCCGAGAGCGTAGGAGATTATGCGAGTGGAACAAACCATGTTCTTCCAACATATGGTTATGCACGGATGTACGGTGGTGTGTCTTTAGACTCGTTCTTGAAGTACATTACAGTCCAGTCACTGACAGAGGCAGGGTTGAAGAAGCTAGGCCCTTATGTAGCAACTATGGCTGAAGTCGAGGGTCTAGACGCCCACAAGAGAGCTGTGACCCTCAGACTAAAGGACATCTAAAAAGAAAATTATGTCAACGGACAAGTTGCCCTCAGACTAGAGGACGTTAATATTGAACTATGTCCCGTCCTCGAGAATAGAGACCATTGATATAGATTTCTCTCTCTCGAAATGATAAGTGAATTGCTTTTTAGAGGGATACATTTTGCCGTCGTCCAGATTTGAGTGTGCTTTGTAGCTGTGTACAATTATTCTGTATGAAATTCTTTAGGTATTTTATAAAACGAAAAAGAATAAATCTGGAGAAATTTCATGGGTACAATTGACATCTTTTGGTGATTTAAAGTTATCAATTTATACTTTGTACTTTACTTCATTGGTTATTCATTCGTGTGTTTAATGGATTGAAAATTGTCGTGTACTACTACAAATGAGCTATCACTAAGAAGATGACTCTCTTTTGTTGGGAAGACGTGGTACTTCTATTTTATTCTTTTCCTGATTGGTAAATGTAAATTTATATTGATCAAAATCTTCAAAACAATTACTCTGGACGTACCCGGACAAACAAGATGAAAAGATGTACAAACGATAAGATCTAAAGATTTAATGCTAAAGACTCAAAATGAATCAAAATATGAGGATACAGAGAAAATATAACTCTGTATGCATGTGTTTTGAGTATATGGAGACCCAAGGTTCCCAATTCTCTCGCCTTTTACCATGTTCTACACGTCCATTGAAATGGTCAATGTTGATATGAGCCGTGGCTTATAAATATAAATAGGATGATCAGGCAACAGTTGATGGTATTCATACTTGGTTCCCGGGTATGATTTACACTACATGTACAATCTAGTTTAACAATCTTGATTGATAACTCACACATTCATCCATTTCAAAAACTGTTTTTTAAATCAATTGTTGGATTTTGACAACACCAACATTGTCGACCATTATGGTCAAGTATGATTGTACAAATAGCGTAATAGCTTTGGGCATATTGTTGGAGAACATTGTCGAAAATTATTGAATAATGAGAATAGATAATAAAAATGCAGCTCGGGTGCAGATAAATTCTATACAGTAACCTTTTATACTCCAATACAGCACCGTAAAAATTAATCAGATGCCTTGAGTCGATGATTCTCAATTGCTGTTGGAGTCTTGGTGCCATGAAGCTTGGACTTGCGCTGCAAACTGCAGTCCCAGACCACATCTTCAACAGAAGGCCTCTCAGATGGCTCAGTTGACAGGCGCCTTGCACAAAGTTCTGTTAGGATTTCAGCTAATCGTCTCAGGGTTCCTTGTGCAACGCTGGATCATACTCCCGCGTCATCCTGAATCGCATCACAAATAGGCAATGTCGGTCATCATCATTGAAGTTAACGTAAATCATAGTCCACATTCGTATAATTGTCCCTCTGTTTAGGTTCATAAGTTGAAGGGTAAATCACAACAATCGTCTCCAACCTCATTTTTTTGTGACAGATAGATTCCCAATCTTCAATTAATTAGTGACAACCATCCTCATAGATAGTTTCCATTCAAAAATCCGTTAGTTATATCCTCCTTTTAACTTAAAAAGAAAGAAGAAAAACAAAAGAAAAAACAAATAAAAAGTTCTCCCTCATAGCACCCCACTCACCCCAACATTATACAGTCGTCGATACTATGATGCCAACAGACATTGCCATCGAGTCTTTGGGTTGGGGTGGGGTAATGCGAGGGACAATAAATTTTTTTTTTTATTGTTTATTTAAAGTGAAGGATAAATTCATCATTTTTGATTCAATAATATTAAAATCAATCTATGAGGATGGTAGCCGCAATTAATCGAAGTTTGAGGACTTGTTTGTTGCAAAAAAATGTTGGGGACGTGACTGCAAATAAGTGCAAAGTTTGAGGATGTTGGAAGTCAGCATTTACTGCATTTTAGATTTATAAATTGAATGGTTGGTATCCGTTACATTTATTTTATTTCCTATTTGGGGGAGTTATGATCATTTGCTTATAATTTTGTGATTCTACCTAACTATTCTTGCATGTACCATTATTATGGAAGTGACGCACAAAAAAACAACATTGAAAGTACAATGATCATTGAAAATTTTAATTTGTGACTATAGTGAAAATTGCCAAATTCGCAAAATTTAATGGCATGTTGAAAATTAGTTGTTTCTATCTCGCTAGTAAAATTGCAACTCAAATCGTATTAACATATGTCCTTTGAGAATTTTTAATTCCATAACTAAATTGAAAATTACTAAATTTGCAAATTTTGAGTGGCGTGTTGAACACTAGTAGTTTCTATCTCGCTTGTAAAATGGCAACTCAAATCGAATTAATTAATATTTGGAGGAGTAATGTAACAAATGAAAAAATTGTCAATTTACTTGAATATCAAAATAAGTAAATTAATTACTTTCAGAAAATTTATTTATTTTAACCTACAGCAACCAATCTCCTTTTTATTTGAAGCCACAAATCAATATCTTTAAAAATTTCTCTATATAAAAAGTTAAATTCTTCCCACCATCTCTCATTCTCCACCTCCCCTTTCAACTATTATGTTTCTCTTCCTGCCCTGCCCCCAGGGCACATCCCCAAGTGGTAAAAGTGGAGGGTGGAGAAATCTAGCTTTGCTTGAGGCTGTCGCGTCAAGGGTTCGAATTCTGAAATATGGATTTGGCTCTTGGGTAAGTGCAAGTGTACGAGCAGCCTTCCACCCTGTACCCTTGGAGGTATAACCTACGATTTACCTCGCTCACGATGCTCCAGGGCAGGGGCGGTAGGAGACCCTTAAGGTTGGGGTTCAACCTTTTATTATGTTTCTCTTCCTCCTACTTCTCACTTTCACACTCTGCTTCCTTGCCTACCAGTTCTATCGAAAATTGTGATACCGCCTTCCTTCAGGAATATGGCCGTGGTTGGTGATCGAAAACCTTTATGACATAAAGCCGGTTAGGATCCGTTGCTTTGCGGAGTGGGTTGAAACCTATGACCCCATCATATCTGTGTGGTTCGGTTCAATTCTAAATGTTATAGTTTCCAACACAAAATTGGCCAAGGAAATGTTAAAAGAGCACGACCAGCCACGGACGGATTTAGAGGTCGGGAAGAATTTTTTATTTTTTATTTTTTTTTTTTGCTGATAACAGATAGAATTTTTAGATTATATATTTGATAATTCATATTATGTATTTCAACAATTTTTATCAAAACAAATGCAAGAAATGTGATTCAAACATGCTACTTTCTTTAAACATATTAACTACTTTACCATCATGTTACTTATTGATTTTTAGCACATAATGTAACAAAATAATATATATTCAATTTTACTTGTTTTATACAAGTAAAAAATTTTAACTGGTGCTTTGTTCCTATTTTTGATTTTCTTTTTCTTTTCTTTCCCTCTAATCAATTGATTTGAAAATTTTGTTAATTAATGGTGGATGAATTTGTAGGAAAATTGACCTTAGTGTCATAAATAATCTTTAATCAAAACTTATTTAATTAATAAAATGTTCCACTTTTCGTTCACAAAAAATCGATTGCGAGAAAGTGAAATCACGGAAATACATAAAATTGATTTAAGCACATAAATAATTTCAATTTTGTTAATATAATAATACTTACTTAATTAACTTTAATTTTAAATTGAATATTGGCATTTTTTTAATATATATTGCATATTTAATTTAAAAATAAATTAGGGCATTTTGTAGATTATAGAACGATTTTTTTCTTTCAAAATGAAAGTTCGTATTTAGTTTTAGTTCTAGTGGTGTCTCTAGTTCTAATCCGTATGATTTCTTGAATATTATTTAATTAAATATTAATAAACAACCCCGCTATCATAGACATTGACCGTCGATTGTAAGCTTTCAATGCTCGCGGTCCTCCCTAGTTGAACTCGACCCTTGGATTCATCCTTGCGACCAGCAATTGCCAGATAGATACAGAAGCTGATCCAAGGCCAGATTCAACAGATATGGAAAGGATCTAATTTGGGTTGATTATGGTCCACACTATATGTCAGAGTTAGAAAAACTTGAACACTCGAATTGTTCGCTTCAAAAAGGATTGAGGCTTTGAGACCACTTAGAAAAGATGAGGTCACGACTATGGTGGAGTTGATCTATAAATATTGAAACTTGGGGAAGAGCCTGGCAGTGAAGAAATAGGTAGGAGATGTAGCATTCAATAACATAACAAGACTTGCCTTTGGGAAGCAATGTATGAATTCTGAAGGTACATTGGATAAGCAAGGAAAGGAATTTAAAGCCATTGGTGAAAATGGAATAAAAATTGGTGCATCTCTTTCCATAGCCGAGCACATCCCATGGTTGTGTTGGATGTCCACACTTAAAGAAGACGCATATGCCAAGCACGAAGATCGTAGAGGCCGTCTCACAGGCGCTATAACGGAAGAGCACATTCTTGCTCTCTGGAAGAGTACTCGAGGTGCCAAACAACACTTTTTGGATGCGTTGTTGATACATCAAGAGAAATATGACCTTTGTGAGGACACCATCATTGGTCCACCTTGCCAATCGCATTTATATGAAAATTATTGACCTCAAAATCTACATGATCCAGTGGCTAACAGAATTTTAACCACTTAGGCATCATCTGTACGCTGGAACACGCCCGACAATCGCTTGTACTCTGATGATCAAGTCAACTGTTGGAAGGGAGAAAATGAGCGTAAGAGAAATGGGTGAGGGGGAGTTGACTCGGATTTAGAATACTTACCTTCAGTGCCAATCACTCACCTATATATACAGGGAGATAAATAAGCCAAGGATAGGGTTAGTGGACCTGGCCCAAGTCTGAAAAGAGGTTGCTTGATTTGATCGACCCAATTCAATTGACATCATCAATGTCCAATCACATAATATGGGACACCTGCCAAATACATACCACGTAATTCATAAATATAACACAAACTATAATTATAAGTTAACATGATGACAGCATCCATGTTTGAGAATTTACAGGACATGATCCCTGCAAGAATAGACACAATTGCAACATTTGTCGAACGGACCATGGCAGAGTTAATCAAGAATCCGAGATTTCAACGAAAGCTCAATGAAGAGCTATACCATGTGATTGGATACTCGAGCTTGATGATTGGACTTCTCAAATCTTCTCTACCTTACAAGTGTGGTTAAGGAATCCCTCGGATTTCACCCTCCAATCCCTCATCGTGCCAATGCCGACGTTAATATTTGCAGATATGACATCCCCAAAGGAGATAACGTGCACGTCAATGTTTGGGCAGTAGCACGAGGCCATGCTGTGTGGAAGAACCCTTTAGAA